CTTTGATTACATTGTTTTGAACAGAAAGTAAAAATGATGAAAAGCTAGCACTTTTAATAAACTGAAAGAACCAGGAATGATTATTTTATTTGTTTATTTGAAATATTTACACCTCACTTTAAAAAAAACAAAAACTTTCCAGGCCGACTTACAAACAGGTAAAAGCAATAAAAACAAAGCAATAGAATGAAAGCATTAAAATCTAAACACTGTTACACACTCTCTCACATAGCTACACCTCAAAAATAGGATTGAAGGGTTTTGTTGCTGAATTTTGCAGAGTCTCTGAATTATCTAGCTGGCTGCTAACAGATATTGGAAGATTTGAGTGTGTATTCATTTAGAATTCTAGCCCACATTATTCCTAGGTTCATAGTGCTTTACACTAATAATTGCACATCAGCATGTTTAATTAAATCACACAAACAATCGCTAGTTTGGGCTAGGGATTTGGCAAGTCAAGAATGCTCTGAAAGACTGACTCTTTGAAAAGTTGTAGAGTTCTGATTCACACTGTCTTTAAACATATATTGCTCTCAAACTTACCTTACCAGTTGTCCTGGTCTTTGAATTAGAATTCCATAATAATGTGTATAAGGAATTTTGTTGTTGGGTTGGGTGCAGCCCCCAAGATTGCCTCCCTGTGTGTTTCTGGAGTTGATTAATGGATGAAATAATGAAGAGGGACCAGCAACATTCAAAAGGGGAAGAAACAATCCTTCAGGGCACAATGAGTTTCAGAAATTTTCATCTGCAAAATGTTGACTTAGTCATGCCTCTATTGCCGCAAGGACTAAATTCCTAGAACCACAGTGACAGCCATACAAAGATGAAAATCTGAAGAGCTGGACAACAAATCTTAACAAATCTGAAAGTGTATGATGCAATCCTGAGCTGCAAAGTATCACTGACTATGGTTCTATCTTCAAAGACAGTATGAGTCAGAACCAGACAGCTTCTCTAGAGCCTAATGCTACCAGATATAAATGAAATAACAGAAGTAAACAAAACCCACAGCCTCAGACGTGACCATCTCAAGGTCATCCAGTGATCTTCAAGGCTATGGGAGGATTTGAACATGAGTTATATTCTTGAGTTATAGTCTACCCACTGCACTTAGCTTAGCTCCTCAGTCCACATGGGGTGTGTGAAAACTTTGAGGAAGGGTATCTTACCCAGTGCTCTTTTCTATGACTTTATAATACAGCCATAACCTCTTTTTTTTGCCTGCTATCCTCTGCCTTTAACAGCAGCTTGATCTGCAGACATTAGTAGGGGATAATGTTTATCTCTATGATATGAAAAGGCTTGCTTGCCGATTGCTGCAGATTGAGCTATAAAAGTCAGAGAAGCAGGCTCTTTCCCCCCCACCCTTGTCAGTTGGTGCTACTCCTATAAAAGCTCCTGGGGTGGAGTGGAGAGAGAAGCAGCTAAATTCTGTTACCACTTTTGCAGACAACAAAAGCTGCCGTAGCTCCTCGTTGCTGCTCCTGCCTGGTGTGCCTCTTGTGCCACGACGCCCCACCTCCTAATATATCCTGCATTTTAAAGCCCAACACAATCTCAGCAGCCAGCTCCTTCCACACAACTGGCTTCATCTCAATGCTAATAGATATTAAAATACGGAGGAATTATGCATCCCCGGGGAAGTGCTGAATCAATAGAGCCTGGCCGCTCTCAGGGCTTTTATTTGTTAAGCCAAAAAAATGGGGAATGGATAAAGGGCTGCTGGGAAGCAGAATGCACAGCCAAGCCATTGTGAATATTGAGCTGGAGAGGGTTCTCTCTAGGGTGCTTAAAGAAAATCCTCTTCCCTCTGGAGGCCAAACTCTGCTATAGCCAGCCAGGGATCCTGAACCAGCCTGGAGCAGTGAGTACTAGTTACATGCCCAGCTGTCCAATAAATTGTTTCCATTTCAAAGCATTTAATTACAAATTACAGTTAGGAAGAGAAGCAAATGGCAAGAGGAGTCTAGAAAAAGAGGTGTCAGAACTCACCTTTAGATGGCACCCACCAGAGAGGTGCTGGGACTCTCCCACATGAGAGGTGCCAGAACTGAGTTCCCTCTGAAAAAAAGCCCTACATCATCATTTCTGAAATCTGCCACAGTCTCTGTTGCCACCATTCCTTCCTTTGCGCTGACTCCACCATTAACAGTTTTTAACATTAGACAGCAAAGGTGGATGTGAGATGCAAAGAAGCCAATTTATCAAGCCTCATTTGTATAGGGAAGCTTTCGATATTTACTACCAAATAAACAGCAAAGTTTTTATGTTTGGGTTGGGGGTAAATTTGGAATTGAATGGACTCTTCAGTATCCGCCGTTTAAGCAAAGTATCTGTTGTTTAAGCAAGGAAATCAATCAATTGTGCTCTTTATGTCAAGGCAAATTATGATCAACTTTCCTCCTTTGACTTGTCAAAGTCATTCCCTCCCCAAAGGCTGTCTAGAGTTTTTCTCTCAACTGATTAAAACACTTTGCTGAGAAGACTTTGCAGCACATTGGTGCAGAATCAACGTTGTGATAGAAGCTAGAGATGCCAATATATAGTCCACTTAGCCTTCATTGAGAAGATGCATCTTGACAGCCAGTTATTTCCAGAGATGGAAATGCTCCATCATTTGCGCCATCATTCGAGGTTAGTATTTTTGCCAGCTGGCATTAGGCATTCAAAATTAAGCATCCCATAAAAAAGCTTCCTTAAGCAATCAGAAAGGGGTTAGTGTGTCATGCAGTACAATAAAGATGATGAATCCACCCATCATACAGTTAGTGCTTGTGAAACACTGACCAATTCATCATATATATTATACACACGCAGTGCTATAACAATAAAATTACATCCGTTGGATGTTGACAAAGGATAAACCTCTTGAAGCTCTGGGTTTGCAGTTGGGAGCTACAAAAGTATAAACGTTCAGAGAAAATCACAAGATTTATATACAGCTTCATTGTACTAAAACCTCAAAACGGTTTACAAAAAGAATAAACAGTAGAATTATCAGTAAAAGACTGTTGGAAATAACTATCTAAAAGTTAAAAAAATAAAATCAACAAGCTAATTAATAGTTAAGACCAACCACCTGACATTTATGTAAATGCATTCATTTTATTTATAACATTTTAAACTGCCCTTCATCAGAAGATTTCAGGGCACTGAAGTTATATTTAAACAAAGAAACAAACAACCACCAACAACCTATAGGTAAAGGTAAAGGGACCCCTGACCATTAGGTCCAGTCGAGGACAACTCTGGGGTTGTGGCGCTCATCTCGCTTTATTGGCCGAGGGAGCCAGCGTACAGCTTCTGGCTGGCGAACCAAAGCAGCGCATGTAAACATTTACCTTCCCACCTATTTATCTACTACTTTGACATGCTTTCGAACTGCTAGGTTAGCAGGAACAGGGACCCTTCTGGGGCCCTGGGCCCTACAAAGTACTCGTCAATCACACACATTTATCCTATTGTGAGATGAAGAAGACACATGGTAGGTAGAGATGCATTAAAAGAATTGCCAGCACCCAATCCAGAGAACATGTACATGTGTGTTTCTTGTTCAGCTTGGCTTCCCTCATCTATTATCTCCCTGGTTGTGTTGCCTGCCCACTTCCCCCACCCACTGCAACTAGTAGGACACCAAGTGATCAATAAATGTGATAAATAAAAAGCAGAAATGTGTGCAGGCACAGGTTTCCAGTTCCAGTTACAAACTACTGGGAACTCCTGTTTGCTATACATGCAGTCCCTCTCTCTGGACAGGCAAACAAGCATCCCTCCCATGCTCACAGAAATGGAGAAAGGCCACCTGCATCAGAGATGGGGGAATCTGTGTTCCTGCACATATTGTTGGACTCCAGCTCCCATCAGCCCCACGCAGCATCTGGAGGGCACCAGGTGGCTGACCAACGCTGGTTTAGAGCATCGTTTACAAGAGGGGACTTTTGTTTAGTTATTTAGGATGCAAGGCGGGCAGCTTGGCCATCTGTGGCCAGTAGGGGGCAGAAGAGACTCTATCTCAAGCTGCTACTGCCCTAAACTTAAGTGTCTCTCTCCTGCCCCCTTATTAGGACTTAACACAGTTCACATCTCTTACCCATCAGTAAGAGAAAAGGCTGCTGGGCATCTCCACACCGCAGTCCTATGTGGGTCTACTCAGAAGTAAGTCACACTGAGTTCAAAGGCAATGATTCCCATGAAATTACGATTGCCGTCTCAGTTTACGGATGGTACCTCGGGTTACATACGCTTCAGGTTACAGACTCCGCTAACCCAGAAATAGTACCTCGGGTTAAGAACTTTGTTTCAGGATGAGAACAGAAATCGTGCTCCGGCGGCGCGGCGGCAGCAGCAGCAGCGGGAGGCCCCATTAGCTAAAGTGGTGCTTCAGGTTAAGAACAGTTTCAGGTTAAGTACGGACCTCCGGAACGAATTAAATACTTGACCCGAGGTACCACTGTATCCACAGCGCTGAAGGGGAGATTCGCATCATATCTTTTCAGAGCACAAAAGCTCTGTCCTGCAGCTTCACTCCTCCTACACCGCATTGCACCCGGTTCGCACACATATGGGACAGTCCCACGATCCATGTGCTCACACTTGAAATTCGTAGCAACTTCCAAGCTCATTCCGGCTCTTCTATGAATGCACCATGGGCGGCTGTGGGTAGATCAAGGCACTCTGCACATGCTTAAGAGACGAAATGGGCTGCAGCTTATGCCTCACTAAAAACCCGCCCCGTCTTTAAAGGACTTTTTGTTGGTGTTTTGCTTTTTTAAACCCCTGACTGCATGGAGAGCACGCTCTCGAGTCCCTCCCTACCTCCGAAATGAGTCCTAATGGTAGTGCGCCCCCCCCTCTCGGCTTTCGCCTCCCACCGCCCCAAATCCGAATGAATCCCTCCTCCCCCTTTTTCCTCGACGGAAGGGGCGGGGGGGCGACGCTTTCGGCGCCCCTCCCCCTCCCCGCCCCCTGCGCTGGGCAGCTGGAGGCTCGCTTGCCGCGCGGGCTCCCTCAGCAGTCCCGCTACTGCCGCGGGGCGGGCAGGAGGGAGAAGGGCGCTGCGTAGCTTTGCGCGCCGCCGCCGCCGCTGCCTCCTCTCCCAGGCAGGAAGCGAGAGAGCGCGGCTGGCCGTAGGAAGAGCAGCCGCCGCCGCCCAGCATGCCCTCGCCTGCCCCAGGCGGCCTCCGCGCCTTGCGCTCTTCTTAGCCGAGTCGCCGCCTCAGCCTCGTCTTGGCCCCGGCCCCATGGTGGTTGGGGGGCAGCGCTCTGCTGCGGCGCGGGGAGGCGGCAGAGGAGGAGGAGGAGAACGAGAAGGAGGAAGGCATGGCCGCCCAGGGGGACAGCTGCAGCGTCAAGGTGGCCGTGAGGTGAGCTCGGCAGAAAAGAGCGGGGGGGGGGCGGGCTGGGAAAGAAAGACGTTCGGCGCAGGTGGGCGCAGACAAAGGGTGTCCCTCGCGCCGCTCGCTGCAGGCCGGTCCATTCATTCCGATCTGTCGGGGGGTGGGGTGGGGAGGGGAGGGGAGCCTCCCTACGGCAGAGGAGGGGAGCTTGTGCCATTGGTCTTCCCTCAGGTGACATGGCATTTTTGGAAGCGGCGTGGGCTGGGCTGACTTGCCTACAGCGGTGATCCTGCCCTTGGCACACAGACCCGCGTTTGTGGGACTGTTAGACGGGCATCCTTGGGGAGAGGCGCGCGCCTCCGTCTGCAGGCAGGGGCGTGTGAGCTTTACCGGTTGTGGGGCATGTGTGACACACACACACACACACACACACACACACACACACACTCCGACCCGTATTGTCCTGTTCCTCTTTGTCTCTGCTGCAGAGGGTCACCCGGAGTGGGGGGACTGCACTGTCCAATTGCTGGGCTGATCGGTCTCTCTGTTTATGCGCATGTGATTAGCCACATCAATATTTTGGCCGCCGCACCTCACACCGTCCTTTTTTCTTCTCCTTTTTGCCTCTCCTCTTTTACCCTGTGAGTTTAAACCCAAATCTCTTCTCACAATGAAATCCTGTTTCTGCCTGTGGAAGCCAATTTTCTGCTGCTTCCCTAAGTAATGTGCAAGAAGCAGGTTTGGAGTATTTGTCTCCTGAAGAGACCTAGAGCTGCCCCTCCCTCTTTTTTTCTGAAGTCAAAGCAAGAGAGACAAGGAAATCCTGTATTTTGCACATTTGCTCTGCGTTTTGCTGCCTTTCCTTTCAGCCCCGTCTCTGCCTCTGTCTCTCTTTGCACACTCCATTTATCCCCGTTATTGATATTTCAGATAAATCCGCTGCTGTCAGGTTTCCGTACGGGCTGGCTGGTTCCTTCCCCTTGTTAAGCTCTTATCTCCCTCCAACAACAACGAAATCTGTTTTGTTTGGCTGTCAGTTCATTTTCCCTCTAACCGGAGTTTGTGCTTTAATCTGCCATATGCAGGTGCCTGATATCTTTTGAGCATCATCCTTTCGTTTGGGGTGGGGTTGGGGGTGAGTCTGCCTATGCAGTGTCTTCTGTGAATGGCAGGACTGCTTCACGCCCATCTCTTTCTCCCCCCCCCCCCCTCACACACTTTGCCAAATGCTGTCGCTCCCTAGCCATTTTGCTTCTTGTGAAAGTAATAACTGCATTGCAAGTACAACATTCCCCTTTCGGTTCACCTGAAACCAGGCAATTTGCTTTCCCACTGCAGGAGAAGGGCGGTGTTAATGCAGTGGCCCACTGCCCAAGGTTTCTTCCTTTGTATTGACTCTTGCTGCTGAAGATGTATGCCCTTTGGATGTGTCTGTGCATTTGAAGGCTCTTTAATAAAAGAAACAGAGGCACTGTGACCAGTGGAGTCCATGAGCTCTGCACAGGGAGAGCTGGGTTTTAGAGTGGGGAGGGTTAGCGATGGCTGTCTCAGGATATTGCCTTCAGTTCCCAATGCAGTCTGTCATCTGGAGACGTTAAGTGGTCTTTGTCAAATGGAATTGAAACGGTGATGGGAGAATTTATCCGAACACCAGACTAGTGTATGCTGAGCACAGATACCAGGAGCTGCCATTTTGGCAACCCTTCATTGCCTCTGTCAGGGTGGGAGGCACATTTGTGTGCAAAACCCTGTATTAAGGTCAGACATGCCAAGTGTGGGTGAGGCCACTACCGCAGAGACGCTCACCTGGACATAGCATGGTTTCTGTTTGGGCTTCTTCATTTTGAATCTAAAGTGACAGAGCACCTTTTTAAAAAGCCTGGGAAATGGAGCCTTGTATTGTTTTGCTCCTTGCATAGCAGGGTACCATTGCTACGCAGAAGCAAGGATGGAGGGGCGGGAATCCTGAAATCTCTTGCTGTGTGATCACAAGCACTTCCCATCTGGCCAGGTTTGTCCAAAGACCATTAATTTATTGGCCTGAGGACTGTGAAAACAGGGTGGTTTTCCTGCCTCTCTTTCCTGGCTTGTGAACTCTCCACCCTTAGAACCTTTGTATGTGTGTGTGTGTGGGGGGGGCATCTCTGAGATACTCAGGATCTGGGTGTTTTAAGCAGGGAGGTCAAAGGAGAGAATTGTAGTTTACAAAACCACCTCCTCCTTGCCAAGTTAGTGTTCTTCTGTGGCAGGAATGCAGGAGAACATTTTTCAGTCAAGCAGATGAGCCTCTGCGTATGTGTAGATAATGAAACAGAAAGTTGGGCAGACCTCCAGTCCATCAGACCTGGTGCTGAAAATTGACCCTTCTTTTTCCCTGCTCAGAGTGTAGGGGGAGGCACTATTGCTCCAGACAGGTGTACTTCTCTATGGGGAACAGGCTTTACCTATTAGTGTTGTGACTATTTAAGTGTCTACATTTGCATCACACTAGCACAGGGCTCCTTATTTGGTGCAGACACTTCTCCTCCTTAGAAACTCAGCTTTTATTTTCAACAATCCCAAGTTTCTAGACCTTATGGTTTAGCTTTCCAAATGGATGACCATGGGTTAGTCTATAGCAGCAAAATTAACCAAGAGTACTGTGGTTAAAGACTAACACATTTCTATCTATCTATCTATCAATCAATCAATTATCTATCTATCATCTATCTATCTATCATCTATCTATCTATCATGGCATAAACTTTCATGGACTGAAGTTTTCATGGACCTAAGATGCATGAAGTGAAATCTCAGTTGGCAGGTATGTGCATAAAAGAAAAATATGTAAGGTGTCAGTTGAAGGGCAATGTGTTTCAAAAAGCCCTTGTCATTGCCATTCAACTCCAACCTTACATTTTTCTTATTTTTACTCTTGTATACCTCCTAACTGAGATTTCACTTCAGGCATCTAACAAACTGGGCTTTAGTCTACAAAAACATACACCTCAATAAAAGAAGTGCTGTTCTTCAAGGTGCCACAGAACCCCCTAGATTGCTAGTGGTTCGGTGAGAACCTGAGACTTGTGTCGAGTGCATTCTCAAGCCAAGTGGGACACAGCAGTCATTCTTCAGTTTTCATCTTAGCTCCTTATCTTTCCCCTCCTCTGCAAGTGCACTTAGTTAAGCAGATATATGCAAGCCTTCTTAATTTGCATAATTCCGACAGATTTTTAAACACATTCTATAATTTGACGCTGGGGAGACAACAAAGAAACGAGGCAGTGGAAGAAGATGTGCTGTTTCAGTTAAATGTGCTTAAGCAGGGGGCCGTGAGGACTGGCATTGGGCATCATTCATTTCATTTGAAAGTGTTTGTCAAACTGCAGGTATGGTGAGATGAGAAGGGGACTGAGCTGAGATGAGAAGGCCAGTTAGAGAAGAGATGGGTGGGGGTCTTGCCTGTGCCTTTGACAGACATCTGCCCCTCTCTCTCTGGTTCCACCTGTGCAATTCTTCTCTTTATAAACAGAAGGTAGCCTGCTTTGTCTGCTCTCTGTTTTGACTGAATCCAGTAGAAACTGCTTTTTTTTTTTTTTTTGCCTTTGGCCATTTCAGAAACTAAAGGGAGGGGAATGAGTTTATTTTAAGGGCAAATTGAGGCTGCATCCTGCCCAAACAATACAGAAAATGCAGCCATTCCTATCTTCTTCTCCCTCCACTCCCTCCTTCCCATTGGGAACTGGCCACAGGAAAGCCCAGTTCTTAATCTTCTAACTATGCATATAGATGGATAGATTTTCAGAAGCTCTTAGCAGTCACTGAAGCAGACATCAGAAATGCTTTGTGCTCAAGAGCGGAGCTCATTCTTCACACTGTGACTGAAAAATGTGAAAGAAGAGAATGACTTGGAATATATTTGGGGAAGTATGAAACCTTAATTGCCTTCCCCTTGTATTTGAAGCTGATCTGGCCTGTGTTCAGATGACAGTTTTGAGGGATGTCTTGGGCTCCCTTCCTGAGAAAGTGAATTTGACATCATCCATTGACTCATTGATCTCCTCTTGACAATATTCAAGCACTCTGATGTTGATATGTACAGTGTGCTAGCTTACTTAGAGAAACATGTTCAGAAAGCAAAATTGTTCTCTTAGGACAGCTACAAGGCTACATGTACTTGAGCGATGAGCTAAGAATTCTGAGAGAATTCATTGGAACTCTTCTTCATCTGAGCAATGCACAAGTATTTGCAATGGATGCAGGATATACATAGTAAATGCTGGTTTTGACCTATAAAACAGTTCAGGACCACAATACCTCGAGCTGTCCTCTCCACATATGAATTGACCTGGACAAAAAACATTCCTCTTTTCCCAGTCCTTTGGCTAATTAAACAATCTATGGCCTTTTAAACTGTGTGTGGGGTTACTGCTTTTGTTTGTTATTAGGCTTGTACTTTTGCATTTTTAATATTTAAACCACCCTCTGATTTTTGAATGAAGGGTGATATAAAAAATTAATAAAAGTTAAATAATAATAGTAAGTGGGAAGTGGGGTGAAAAACAGAAGGGCGTCTGGATGATCACTCAGCCTTCGGTGGGTAGTACAACCTACACATGCAGAATGGAGAAGATCTGTCAGTGGATTGATTGATTGATTGATTGATTGATTGAACATTTATTATTACAGCAAAACAGCCAGCATACTAGTCAGTGGATGGACCTTTCTGATAATATGGCTCAGCTCCTTGAATATGGAGCAGACAGAAGGGAGATGGTTGCATAGTAACATCTGAGAAGCAAATCAAACACTGCTTAATATCTATAGAGCAGAGGTAGGGAACCTGTGGTGCTCTAGATGTTGGACTCCAGCCTCCATCCACCCTAGCTAGCATGGTCAGTGGTCAGGGATGACGAGAGTTTGTACTCCAGAAGTATCTGGAGGGCCACAAATTGCTCAGCCCTGATCTAAAAGGACTGACACATTACAGTAGCCAATAAGGATGCTGCTGAGAACCACATTCCCATGGTGAGTTTTCCATTCTGGAG